TTTTTTTGTGGCTAATATTTAGGTAAAAATGGGGGTTGTTTTTGGCTAATAAAAGGGGGCAGGGATGGGGGATATAATGTGTGGTTTTGGACTTATAAGTTTGGGTTATTTGCTAGGGAACATGGGCAGGATATATGGCTGGTGGTGGGTCATGGTTTTTGGCTCTTTGTTGATGTTGTGTTGGGATTGTGAGGGATATTTGGCCAGGGATTTAGAGGAAGGGAGATAAGGTTTTATTTGTTTATTAAAAGGCTTAAAAGAAGGAAAATAACAACAAACAAAAGGTTTTGGTTTACACACTCTTATTTTCGGCCAGGGGCTAAAATAAGAGTAATAAAAACTTTATTTTGAAATGAATTAAATAGAAAGGGGATTTGGATATTTAGGGTTGGGTTGGACGGAGTGGGAGTCGGTTTGTGGAACCCTTTGGCCCAAAGTTATTCTAGCCGCTCGGGTTGAGGGACTCGGAATTCGCACTAAAATAGATCATAATGTTTGAACGTGCATCCTTTGGTCTTTGCAAGGGTGTGGGACATGGGGGAGGGTATGATAGGGCCAGGCCCAGATATAACAAAATATCCAGGTAATCGGCAGCATCAACCGCGGGGTAAGCACTCGTAACTCACTTAGGGACACCGTAGGACACATGGATTTTGTTTCTCAAATTGAACCTACAACCATTTCTGAAGCAATAAACGATGAACATTGGACATTGGCTATGCAAGAGGAGCTAAACCAATTCAAACGAAATGACGTTTGGGAATTGGTGCCAAGACCCGATGATCGTACGGTTATTGGTACGAAATGGGTGTTCCGTAACAAACTTGATGAAAATGGAATAATCACTAGAAACAAAGCTAGGCTCGTAGCTAAAGGCTACAATCAAGAAGAAGGCAATGATTTCGAAGAAACTTATGCACCCGTAGCACGTTTAGAAGCTATTCGTTTACTTCTTGCTTTTGCTTCGTCTATGGATTTTAAACTTTATCAAATGGATGTTAAGAGTGCCTTCCTCAATGGTTTTATTCAAGAGGAAGTGTATGTTGACCAGCCCCCGAGGGTTTGAAGACTTTGAGTTTCCCGACCATGTCTTCAAACTCAAGAAAGCGCTCTACGGTCTTAAACAAGCACCCCGTGCTTGGTACGAACGTTTGAGTAAATTTCTTTTGGATAGTGGTTTCCAAAGGGGAAAGGTTGACACTACACTTTTTATCAAGAGTAAAAACAATAACATCCTTTTGGTTCAAGTTTATGTAGACGATATTATATTCGGTGCTACTAACGAGTCTTTGTGCAAGGAATTCTCAACGCTAATGACAAGCGAATTTGAAATGTCCATGATGGGTGAGCTTACATTCTTTTTGGGACTCCAAGTCAAGCAAATGAAAGATGGCACGTTCATCTGCCAAACCAAATATTGTAAGGAGCTCCTAAAACGATTCGAAATGGACAACGCCAAAGCCATGGCGACCCCGATGAGTACGTCTGACCATCTTGACAAAGACGAAAAAGGTAAGGAAGTAGAGGTCAAAAAGTATCGAGGTATGATCGGATCCCTTCTTTATCTTACTGCTAGTAGGCTGGATATCATGTTTAGCGTATGCCTTTGCGCGAGGTATCAATCGTGTCCGAAGGAATCACACTTAACCGTGGTGAAGCGGATCATGAAATACCTTGTCGGCACGGTTAACGTTGGACTGTGGTATCCAAAAGGCTCTTCTTGTCATCTCGTTGGTTATTCCGACTCGAACTTTGCCGGTTGCAAATTAGACCGTAAAAGTACGAGTGGGACTTGCCACTTACTTGGTAGCTCTCTAGTCTCATGGTTTAGTAAGAAACAAGTAAGTGTTGCGTTATCCACAACCGAAGCGGAATATGTGGCCGCCGGTAGTTGTTGTGCTCAAATCCTTTGGATGAAGCAACAACTCGTGGACTATGGCCTTAATATCAATCACGTCCCTCTTCGTTGTGATAATACTAGCGCCATAAGCTTGACGAAGAACCCCGTTCTTCACTCAAGGACGAAACACATTGACATTAGGCATCATTTCATTAGAGATCATGTTCTCAAAGGTGATGTCGAAATTGAGTTTGTTGAAACACACAACCAATTAGCCGACATTTTCACAAAACCTTTAGAGAAAGAGTCGTTCTTCCGCATTCGAAGTGAACTCGGAATCCTTGACTCCACGATGATCTAAGTTGTGCATCTAAATTTATTCAACGTTTACTAACTTGAGCNACAACCGAAGCGGAATATGTGGCCGCCGGTAGTTGTTGTGCTCAAATCCTTTGGATGAAGCAACAACTCGTGGACTATGGCCTTAATATCAATCACGTCCCTCTTCGTTGTGATAATACTAGCGCCATAAGCTTGACGAAGAACCCCGTTCTTCACTCAAGGACGAAACACATTGACATTAGGCATCATTTCATTAGAGATCATGTTCTCAAAGGTGATGTCGAAATTGAGTTTGTTGAAACACACAACCAATTAGCCGACATTTTCACAAAACCTTTAGAGAAAGAGTCGTTCTTCCGCATTCGAAGTGAACTCGGAATCCTTGACTCCACGATGATCTAAGTTGTGCATCTAAATTTATTCAACGTTTACTAACTTGAGCGTCGGAGAACTTTTTCTTTTTTGCAGGTACCCCGTTCATGAAATCAGGGGGAACCTGGCAACAGCACTGTCCAGGAGACCCAACAGCACTGTTGAGGGAAACACCGTCAACCAGAAAGTTTGCCAACAGCGCTGTACACAAAGCCAACAGCGCTGTCCCAGGGAGTCCCTTAAATCTTCTCTTTCCAGAAACTTTTTCAACATCGCTGTCCCTTTTTCAACATAGCTGTTTTCAAAACCCCTTGTTTTCAATCAAAACCAGAAAGTGTTCAAACAACGCTGTCCACCATCGCAACAGCGCTGTCTATTTGTACAAATTTTTTTTCTATCGTAAAACAGCGATGTAGAGAAACCCAACAGCGCTGTTCTAATGGGTTCAAACCCTCCCACAATTCCAGAAACTTTTGGAACATCGCTGTAGGGTACTCAACATCCCTGTCTGGTTAAACTCTTTTTTTAAACTTGACGCAGAACAGCGCTGTCCAAACAGCGATGTCGCCTATAGAACATCGCTGTTCAGTCAAACTTTTTCAAAAAAAATACCCGTTGGCATGGGCATTAATTGCTCCAACAGCCATTGTTTTTGAATTTTGAACGTTGGACTCCCTCTCTCCTATATTTTTCGACCCCCTCTTCTCACTTTTACACACAAAAACACAATTCTCTCCCTACTTCTTGCATATTTCATTCTCCTTACATTTTTTTTAAATTCTTTCATCATGGGCAAGGATAAGAACAGGGCAGGAGCTTCCGGCAAATCCAAAGCCAAATCCCGGGCACCGACAACCAACTCCGAGGAGCGCCTCTACTATGGCGACGGATCGTACCTCTGGTTCGATTCCGAGGAGGAGCGCACCCGCTTTCTCACTTTCTTCTCTAAACGGGTTGTGGCTCCCCAACGAATCATTCCGGAGTGCTACCCGGAGCTACAGGGCTACGACGACCTTGACGTACAACTTCATCAAGCCGGCCTTTGGCCGTTCGTCTCCCGAGCGCGAAAGGAGATCAACCCGGCGCTGATCCAGGCCTTCTACTCCAACCTCCGGCGTGAGGACGACGTCATCTACAGCCTCGTCAAGTCCACGCCGATTGAGCTCACTGCTGAGCAGCTTGGGTGCATCGCCGGTCTTCCCTTCCAAGGCAACGATGTCTCTCACTATGGCGGAGAGGACTGGGTGCTCAACAACGAGGGCCTTATCCTCAACGAGCTTGGCATCACCGAGCTCATACGCCATGCCTTGGGCCGCCCCACCATCCACTCCGCTAACCCCGAAGGCCGTCTCGTTCTCTACATCGTGTCCCGGATCATCAAACCCCGGAAGCACGGCCACACAATCATGTCCGGTGAGGACCTCAAGCTCGTCCACGCGATCATGCACTCGGCTCCAATCAATTGGGCGAAATTTGTCATGATCAACATGACGATCGCCACCTCCACCGACCACGACCATCTCCTCCCATACCCATTCGTGGTGATGGACATCCTTGAATGGTTCAAGGTAACCACCACCGTTGGCCCGCTCACGAAGGCCACGAAACTTTGGACGATCAGCGCCCAAACCTTCACAAAGCGGTCGGACAACACCGCGCCTGCCACTGCCGCGCCACGCCGCACTGCCCCTGCCGCTGGCCCAGCCGAACCCCAGGCCCGGGCCAACCTCGCCTCCATCGCCGACTCCCTCAACCGGCTACACCTCAAAGTTGACGGGATGGATGGCTACCTTGAGCGGCTCGACGAGGCGGTCCAACGCCAAGGGTACGCCATGAACGCGTACTTCCAACGCGTTAACTACGTCCCCCCACCGTACCATGGCACGTTCTTTGGGCAAGTGTACGGTGACGAGGACGAAGACGATGCCTCCTATGCCCCGTCAAGCTCCCCGGATGATGACGAGTTCAACAATGCCATCGATGGGGATGAGATGGACGTCGACGACGACGAGGAGGAAACCGAAGACGAAGCCTAGGACTCCCCTAGATTTTCTATCTCTTCTCTTTCAATTATCATGTTTTTTTTATTGCTTCCGTTGTACTCCGCTATTTCCTTTAATAAATAAAAGTATCTTTTATCTTTTTGTTAATGTCAAAAGGGGGAAGAAAAGGGCTATGCATATACTAAGGGGGAACGCCTCTATAAACGAGACCGTTTGATTTTAATCCGACTAAACTTTTTTAAGCACAAATTAAGGGGGAACTTTTTCACAACCTTTTGAAAATCAAATATCCCTTAGTATGCATATCCCCGTCTTGTTTGCCATTATCAAAAAGGGGGAAATTGTTGGAACACGGATTACGCCTACGTCGTACTAAACTGTGTTCGCTCTTATGACAGGTTTTGATAATGCCAAACCGCCGTGACACAACAAGGCTAAAGTGAGCAAAACCAAGGCGAAGGAACATGGCATGATGATTTGAGAACCAAGAATCAAGAACGAAGAATTAGAATTGTATTGAGTCGGTCTTAATGTGATCAAGACCGGCACAAACTTTCAAATCTTGGCTCTCTAGGCTTCTCTCATCAAAATATATTTTGCATATTCAAAAATGTTTTTCTTAAGTTTTAAACTGCCTAAAAGCACTTGGAGTTCTCCCAAACCAAAAACCAAGCCATCCGGCGTTCGGTCTTCGGAAACCGGCGTTCGGCTTTCGGTTATTGGCGTTGGTTTTTGGCGTTCAGATCAACCAAGTGGTTTTCAACTTTTAATGATTGGTTTTTACTTTTGGGCATATTTAAATAGTTCTCCAACAAAAATGATTCAAAAACCACCTTTCGTTTTTGGTCGTTTAGTAAAAACCATGCGAAACGGCATCAACTTGGCTAGCCATGGTTTTCAACTAAATGACGTGGTTTTCAAAATGTTTTACTTGATTTCTTAGCAAAATTCATTAAACAAACATTTTCAATACTTGGTTTTTATTTTGGAGAACTTACATTTTTGACATCAGCTAACGGCTGACTAAACCAACCATGGGTCTGGCTAAACCAGCCCAACACCGATGTTGGTGAAACCAACAGCGCTGTCTGGCTTGGGTGGCTGAAAACCATGGTTTGGCGTTAAGTCTTCCAACATTGATGTTGGATGTTAGACATCGCTGTTGAGCCAAGGTTGGGTTTCCAGAAACATCTGGAACAGCGATGTAGACTACCCTACACCGCTGTCCAACCTAAGCCAAAAAGAAATGCCTTTGGCAGAAAGTTTTTGAACAGCGATGTTGACCCAGCAACAGCGCTGTCAGGCCAAACTTCCCACCTTCAAAGTCAGACCTAAACAGCGATGTTCAAGTAATGAACATCGATGTAGGGACCTGACCGTTGGAAGGAATTTAAGGCTAAAACTTTCCTTGTTTGGAAGTCAACAGCCAAAACAGCGATGTAGGGGTATTGGACATCGCTGTTGGCATGACCGTTGCTTTCCAATTTTCAAAAACCAAGCCTAGAACAGCGATGTCCAAGCCTAGGACAGCATTGTCTGGGTGAATTTCAGCAGATCCAAATTTAATCAAATCCCACAAATTGTGCCAATCACCCCTTAAATGTTTTGGTCCGTTGGAGCTTATTGTTCCACTATAAAATGGGGTGTTTAGGTCTGTTTTAAATATAACATAACTTCACAACTTCTACTCTTTCATTGCAAATCATTCATCACTTTTTCATAGCTTTTTGAGAGCCATTTTTGTGAAGCTTGTGTTGCGTTCTTGAGCGTTCTTAGTTACTCATTATCCACTCTAAAAGAGAGTATTGGTCTTGAGAGTTTTTAGTGTTCTTAGACACTTGACAAGAGAAAGTATTTCTCTTGTTGTTCGAAGGAAGGGTTGTTTCCTTCGAAGGTTTGTTGAGGTTCGTGTGACTCGAACTCTCAAGTTGTACGGGTTTGTTAAGCACCGTTAAGCTTAACGAGATAGTAGTGTAGCTCGAGAGAGTCTCTCGGGAGGCTGGATTAGCCACAAGTTGTGGTGAACCAGGGTAAAATCGGTGTGCCTCTTACTCTTCTCTTTACTT